AGACCTAGAGCTAGAACAAGTTCAGCCTGAGAAGGTGGACACAGCAAGGGGTCTTGAGCCAAGGAATCCAGAGGCTCCGAAGAGAATCCAGGGAACACCCGACGAGGAGCATGATGGAACACGACAAAGAATCCACACGATAATGGGAGGATCAGCGTATTGCCCCAACACTGTAGCCGCGATCAAAGCCTATCAGAGACGAGCCGAAGCGCCCCGCAACTGGTTAAGGCCATTTGATCGACCTAACGATGTAATCATGTTCGAAGAAAGTGAGACAAATGGGCTCGACAGGCCTCATAATGACCCTCTGCTCATCACGCTTGCCAGTGGAGACCACGATGTGTCAAGGGTATTGATAGATACCGGCAGCACGATTGACGTGATCTTCCATGAGACGCTTCGGCAGATGAACATCGGTATGCCGCAAGTAAACCAGACTCCGAGGCCAGTACTTGGATTCTCTGGAGAAACTCTGATGACACTCGGAACTATTCAGATGCCAGTCTAGGCCAGTGGAATAACGAAGATAGTTGATTTCTCTGTCACAGATCAGCCAACCATCTACAACGCCATTATGGGCACCCCATGGTTAAACCTAATGCGAGCCGTCGCTTCGACATACCATCTCTGCTTGAAGTTCCCGACGCCTAACGGTGTAAAAACGATATGGGGAAGCCAAAAGAATTCCAGGATGTGCTTCATGGCAGCACATAAACTTCAGAACCTTGTCGCCGAACCTAAAGCCGAGGTCAATCATAAAAAGGCGAAGATTAGCCGAAGCAAGGAGAAGTACCCCGAGGAAAAGAAGGCGGCCGAAGAGAAGAATGTTCTGGAGGCCGTTCTTGGGACTCTTTCTCCTCCCAAAGCGACCGATGAGCCTAAGGTGGAGATGACGAATCCTAACCCCACTGCCGATGCAACTGATCCCGAGGAAGCCGAGACTATCCCAGCTGTGGATACGCCTCAGGAAATACTGCCGCTAAAAACCTAAGGTACGCGTAAACTTGAACTACGGGGTGGCTTGATCCCTGAAAAGGGTACGTAGGCAGCTCGTCCTCGGACGAGTTCAGCTACCCCCTTGATCAAAAAGGGGGGAGTGGGGTCCGTATATCCATACTCCCACCCAAATTTTTTTTTATTTATAGTCTTAAACACTTCGGGCTTTATTCGTTCGAAGTAAAGCCACAATTTTTACCCCGAAACTCGCCTCGGGAGTTTAACACGGTCTAAACTCCGTTCGGTTCATTTGGACGATGGCCACGCCCGCGAACTAAATTCAGCTTCACCTCCACGGTTACAGCGCGCTATATAAGCATTCGAGACAAAAATGAAATTGTCTTCAGAAACCCCAGTTAATCTTAACACTGGTGCCCCAGTTCGCTTCTAAGCACTGGATATTGACTATATCAGATCGGGTCGCAACCGAGCACGATATAAGTCATATTTGCAGAAACACAGTCAACTTAACACTGGTATACAGTTCATTTTTTCTTTTGGTTCGGAAGTTAAGGTAGTTCGAAGGATTAACTTCTACTTAACCGAAAACGATAAGTCATACTCACAGAAACCCAGTTACCTTAACACTGGTACGAAATTTACTTAAACAAAATATTTAGTCTTGAATAAAGCCATCCTCACAATCTTAATAACGGTTCTAAGAGTGCCGCCTCAGGTTCACTGGCGACTCGAAGTCCCACTTACAAAAACCCAGTTACCTTAACACTGGTACACAACTCACTTCCTTGGTTTGGAAGTTAAAATAGTTCGGAAGGTTTAGAATAGCCAAGCTAGACGCCTCAACAATGAGAGAACTTCCGAAAATACTTAAAGAGAGAAACATTCATATTCGATTTTGGATTAAAAAAAAAAAAACTTCCTAAAACAAAAGACGAGGGCAAAAGAAAGACGCCTCGTGCTCATTCCTCATCCAAGCTCGAAGTTAACAGCTCGGTCTGCTCGTTCATGAAGCTTGTTACACTTGCTCCCCAAGTCAACGAGCTGGGGGGCTAACTATTGGGGTCAGATTTCATCCATCTTAGGGGACCGAGCCGAACTTCAACACCTTGAATTAACCTGCTCGGGGTACCCTTCCAATCAGCTCGGAACAGCCCTGTAAGTCAGCTCGGGTACCCTGCCAGCCAGTTCGGGTACCCGAACCCATCCTCTCTGGGTACTCGAGCCCGTCCTCTCTGGGTACCCGAGCCCGTCCTCGCTGGGTACCCGAGCCCGTCCTCGCTGGGTACCCGAGCCCGTCCTCGCTGGGTACCCGAGCCCGTCCTCGCTGGGTACCCGAGCCCGTCCTCGCTGGGTACCCGAGCCCGTCCTCTCAAGGTACCCTCTAGGTGCCTTGGCTCGGGTTGTGTATCACACCGTCATCCTCCCCGAGCCGAATACGCCAGGCAGCCTCCAAGCTACCCGAGAAGTCATCAGTCACCCGGGGCAAGGACTTGATAAATATTCACCTTCAAAGTATCATTTCTGAACAGGCTGACATTATTTCCGAAAAAGAAGGATCATTTCCGAAATATTTGGAAATGATAAAGAAGAATCTCGAAGGATCAACTCAAATCAGGAAAACTTCTGGAAACTCCGAAGAATAAGGAAAGTATCCTAATCTGCGAGATTCTAAGCCGACTTCGAGATAAATGGAAATCTTCCGAGAATATTGCTGGAGAGGCGGTTTATCATCTCTATATAAAGAGACTCAAAGCTCTCACAGAAAGGAGAGGCAAGATCGCTCTAGATTTTAGACTACACAAAGCTCTGAAACAGAAACACCTTTTCTTTTACGATCAAACTCTTGTACGATCAAAGTTATTCTTTTATCAAACTCTCGCATATCGTATCTCTAAAATAAAACCCTAGACAAATCTCGATTGTGTTAAGTTTCGACTTCCACAAAGCAGGTCGATTATATTCTGAACATTGGCAAAACTTATCGGTATGGTCTTGGATTTAAAGGAAATCTTTCAAAATTAGATCCAATGTTTGTCTCTAGTGGTTATTAGAAAGAGCTACATCCATGGGGGAGAAGAAAAAAGAAGAAAATATATTATCTGCAACATCAAAGGAGGGAACATTAATTTTCGGATCTGAAAAAGAATGTAGATATCTGTTTCAAGATGCCTAATTCAAATCAATGAATGGAGATTCAAAAGTATTCCGATCGAGCTAAAACTTTGTGGCAAGGGTCGTGGAACTATTGTATTAAGATTCGACGATGGGATTGAGATTTTTGATGGTTGGTTTGAGATTTATTTGAGCTTCTTCAACATGTTCCGAGCAGAGTTAATTTAGAGTTTCAGATTTGACTAGTTCCAGTAGGAGACATCACACGGGCAACAAAACAAACACATAATGAGATAAAATTTGGAAGCAAGATTATACACTCATGGATCTAGGTTATGGTAGAAGGAATATAAAATCGGAGTTTGAAAACCTAATTAAATGATGGGGTAAACCTTTTTAGATGAAACCATAATATAGAGTCTGCTACATGAACTACTGAATCAGAGAAACTCTAAAGTTGTTCAGGTACGATATATGAGTGTGTCAACCTGTGAAGATGTTTTAACTTGTGTGTGCTCACAAGCAGGGGGATAATATGTGGCATAGGATTAAGGGGAGATTAGAAGTTGGTTCAGTTCCTTACTTGAATCCTATGTGGCTTGTATGTGAGGCTTTATGATTCTATGTTACAAATGCTTGAGAGACACACAAAGTTAAAAAGGGGGAGATTATTGGTGTAGCCAGTTGACAAACTCTATGTATTAGTGACAAAGTAGCACATGAAGTGATACAACGAAGCATGATGTTTGATCTGAGCATTAAGTATGTGCTTTAGTTCTAAAACTCAATCATCAAGGGAGATGTGGATTTAGGATTCACACTCGATTGTCTTTAGGTATTTTTTTGTGGAGAAAAACTATAAAATCAAAGGATGAATATAAGGAATCGAAAGAGAAATTAACCAAGAAACTAATAAAGTAAATGATTTTGATAAGAATAATATAATAAGAAGCCTTGAGAAATTGTGAAAGAAAAAGTATGTTATATTGCTTGACAGTAAGTCGTAAAAAGATTGTTCTCCCCAAACACATGCGTTTGAGGTTGTTTTTATATAGAAAACATGATTAATGAGGCTATTTACTACTCGTAATCACATTGATCCGCATTAATCACATAAGTTACATTTTGACCGAAACGGCTTGAATTTGAACTTGTCTTGGGCTTCACGTGGGCCTTCCGAACTCTTTCTTGCTGACTCCGAACTCCCATGCTTTGATGCTACCGCGAACCCCGAACAATATTCTCCTCGCTTCGGCCTTTCCCTATGCGAACTGTATGTTGAATAAGAGCGAACTCCGTACTGGTAAAGATCGAACTCATTTAGTAGACTGAATCGAACTCCCGACTGGTTAAGTGCGATCCTTATAATAAAATATCTTTAATTCCAAGAGGATTATTATGTAATAATGACGTGGACAGATCCAAGTGGATCCTACCGAAAATGTGTGGGATCCGACCCCAACATTTAGCCCCCCAAGTCTTGCGAGCTGAGTGCTCGGCTTGGAAGACTTAAGTAAACAGTAATTAATGACTCGAGATCTTTAACATTCTGGAATTATTCCATGTTTCACGCTATTACGCTGATCTCGGGTAATCAAGTGATTTGATATCCCTGACAACCGTCATCATTAATTTCTTAATTTTATATTAATACTGCGGGGAAAACTGTAACACCCGCGATCCTCAATAGGATCGCCGGGGAAGACTTGGTTCGAGGGAAAAGCGGAATCTCGGGCTAAGTCTAAAGGAAGCGGATAGAATGGCTTCCGAAGTGTGTGACAAGCTGAAACGAGCTGGAAGTGTTGAGCTAACCAGCTCGACTAGCTGGACCAGCTGCTCGGTGACAATCTGCTTCTTTCCACTAATATCCATCAACTTGCATTTTTTATTTTCTTTGATGACCTCAGCTCCCGTTTTACGCTGTCATGATTAAAAAACTAGTCAGTTTATAACAAAGAGATCTAATAATCACAATCACCTGCACAACATATCAAAATGACTTACCGGAGATCTTCGAAGAGGGGCTGTTAGTGTAGGTCGTTGACTTTGCTGGATAGGAGATTCTTGACCAGATGGTGGAGACTTCTCTGCAGGAGGTTTTGAGACTGTTGGAGCAGTTTTCTGACATGCTGCAGTAGTTTTCTGACTTGTTCCCACTGATTTCTGAGCTGTTGCTGCAGATTTTCCTCCTGAACATTGCTGAGTTGATGCAGCTTTCTGAATTGGAGATTGCTGACCTATTGCATCTGTTGGGTTTTGAAAGACGACTTTGTTCACAGGCCATGATACAAATGTTTGTAGACAGTCCTCAAGGTATGTTACATCAATCGTAGGCCTCCAGATAAATGTCTCAGGTTGACATACCACATCTACAAAGATCTTCACTGCATTTGGTCCCAGAGGTAGCCCATTTACTAAGGCATCACGATCTTGTGTCTGCCAACGCCCTTCAGCAACAACCACGTCATCTGCAGATAAATCCAGCAGCTTGCATTTGTTCATCGCTGAATTAGTTCTTTGGCTCTGTCAAACACAATCACACAACATGATCATTGTTCCATAGATATAAATATTCCTATACTCATGAGGGTTAATAATAAACTTTACCAGTTTTTCAATGTCTTCTGGTTCCTGCTCATTTTCTATGTTGACACACTTAGAGGCAGGCCAAGCAATCATCTGTCCGATAGCAGATTCAATTGTGCACATGTTAAGTGCAGGTCTCCAAAGATATGCGTTTGGTACTGTAGCAGTGTCTACCAAAACTTTGACATCCGAAGGGCCTAAGCGACAATCATTCACTAACTCATCTGGATCAGAAGTAATAATGCGCCCCTCAGCAACAATTGCATCACCATTACCAGTCCAATCAATCAAGATACACTTAGGTTGTGATCTTTTGTTTACGCTCTAAAAAATGCATAAAAGACTAGTTACTAGAGTTTCCAGAAACAAATAAAACATGCATTTGATATAAATTAAAAACTTACTCTAGCAGCTGAGTTTGAAGCAGCATCAGGCTCTTGTCTCTGTTACAAAAATAAAACAAAGTCAAATATAGTGTTATAATGCATCAGCTTAAACTATAAGTAGAGAAGTGTCTAACCTGGTTCTTCAATTTTTCAATTACATCTTCTAACTCATTGACCTTCAACAATAGATGAGTTTGCTTCGCTTCCATTTCTGCCATACACTTGTTCTTCACTTGGAAACATGCTAATTTGGTCTTATTCATGTTTCTACCCATTGCCCTCATTCGACCAGGATTATCAGGTCCTAGTAGCTGGCTAAGTGAATCTTGGCCATCAAAACAAGTAGATGCTGCAGTATCACTTTTAACAATCTCAGCTGCCTCTCTCTGCCAATCACAAGATTCAGCTTCAAACGTTATGATCTAATTCCAACATGCAGAACATAGTACAATAGTTTGTAACTCACAATCTTCTCAGCCGCATTTGTATTCACTGGTGTACCATCTTTTCTGGCACGTGACTTGATCCAGACCTTTAGCCTTGACACTTCACTTGGATTTGAACTCTCCTTTTTCTAATTCAGAGCAAAATTTTCTTACAAATAAGTATTCAAAAGTAGTCAATGAGAAAAAAACATGCAACATAATTGTAGTATGTTTACCATATCTTCTGCTAGTCTAACCATTCCTTTGCGGCTAGTGGTGTGAGGAATCTGTTTGCTCCTTCGTTCCTTATAGCTATCACTTACAACCTAACAGAGAAATGTTTCTATGTAAAATACTATATAGGAAATAAACTTAGCTAAGTACAAATGATTACCTTAAACTCTTTGCTAGTTTTGATTTTGACTAGTTTACGCCACTCAAATGGAGAGACATTCTTAGGTCGCAGCTTCATCCTCTGTTGGTTAGTATCAGCTTGTCTAACCTTGGTGACTAGACGGGATTTCCATGACCTCCACAGACATCCCATCTGCTTAAGCACTGCAGTCTTCTGGTACTCTTCATCTATCTCAAACCTTGCCTGCAATTATAGTTCACCAAAACAAAAAATAAAAAGGTAAATGGAAGACCTTGAGCTTAAACATCTTGAGGTTTTGCATTACGAAATTACCTGGACAGATTTCCAGAGAAGTGTCTTGATTTCTTCAGTTATTTTTGTCCAACGATCAAATGTGATAGGAACATGTTCCCGTACCAATGCTCCAACGTAAGATGCCATCTTAACAGACCCTTTACCATAAGGTTCTCCCAGGCTATTGAACTCTACATGTACTCTGGTATTTGGATCCTTGGCGATGTCTTTCATGCGTGTTGGTCCTCGCTGTCTCTTACTCTTTCTCTCAACGTTGTCATGATCTTCAAAGAGGTGTATCTCACCTTCAGGCTCTTCATCAATCAGACCTTTCTCAGCGTCATTAGGCGTCACTTCACCTTCAAGCTCTTCTTCATTGAGCTCTAGTTCTGCAGGATCTGGTTCTACTGGTTTTGCAGCATCTGGTTCTACTGGTTCTGCAGCATCTGGTTCTACTGGTTCAGGTTCACGGGTACTCAGATATTCTACCTCATTATCTTTCTGTTTAGGTTTTCTTCCTCTCCTTTTCTTTCCAGTTCCCATTTCAAATCACCTGGAAAAAGAAACAGAAAAAATGCTAAAATATATGCAATAGATATGAAACAATCAATTTCCTATCTGACATTTAGCTAAGCAACATAATATATATGAAACAAACAATTCCCTATCAGACATCTATTCAAACAAAGTCCAACTAATCATGAAAATGATGAAGAACCACACATATATGCCTTCGCAATCAGTTCTTTCATTTTCTGTTTCATCCAAGTCAACACCCATGTCAATATTTGCAAGCAAAGGACTAATGTCTGCATCTCCAGCTTCAAACTCTTTCTGACTGAATTTTCTAGAAGGACCTCTCATAGCAACATGCCAGCTTGATGACTCGTCTTCCCTTGAGTAAAACACTTGCTTTGCTAGAGAGGCTAATATGTACGGGTCCCTTGAAAAACTAACTTGACTATGATTCATGTTAACAAGCGTGAAACCATCTTCTTCCTTTACTCCATTACCCTTCACTGCCCATTGACATCTGAATAAAGGGACATAAAACACATTGTAGTCCAACAAGATAATGTCTGTTACTGTCCCATAGTATGAAACCAAATCCACCACTTGTGAAGTATCCTTAGCACTAGACCTGCAGACAGCTGTAGCCTCATAGTAAACACCACTATTCTGACTTTTTCTATCTACTGATATGGTGTAAAACCGCTGCCCATTTACTATATATCCTCTATATGACCGTGCGCAGGTACGTGGACCAAATGCTAACCATTTAAGTGTCTCAGCATGACTGTTTGAATCAAGCGGTATCTAACAAAAAGGAAAGAAAAATATATCAGACAGTTGTAGACGTAAACAGTATGTCAGATATTCTGATAAAATATTTACTCGCCTGATTTTTTAACCAAGAGGCGAAATTCTGAGTATGCATAGTCCATAATGTTGATGCATCACGTCTGCATCTTCCGTTTGAATCTTGTAGATGTTGCAGATGTGTACTTGTCAGGCAAAATAAAAATAAGAAGAAATCAGGTACAATAGGCGTCAAATATAGGAATGTGTAATGAACTAGATTAAAATGCGGAACTTACTCCACATAAGGTTCAACCACAGCCATATTTTGAATGACAGCCATATGGGCAATTTTCCTCTCCATATCAGTGAGAGAAATTGATATGCCTGCAGATATTGGACGCCCCTCAAGAATAGAGCTGTTCTCATACTCAATGTTTCTGTCTACTTTCTCTTGAAAATTTGTCGTCTTCTTAAAAAAATCATTACAAAACTGGATGCATTCTTCTGCAAGATAACACTCAGCAATGCACCCCTCTGGTCTTGCAGTGTTTCGGACAAAGTCTTTTAGGACTTTCATGTACCTCTCAAACGGATACATCCATCTAAAATGTACTGGTCCTCCAAGACGAGCTTCTCTTCCTAGATGAACCGTCAAGTGTACCATTATATCAAAGAAACTTGGAGGGAAATATCTTTCAAACATGCAGAGAGTTTCAACAATCTCAGCCTCCATTGCCAATATTTGCTCCCTATCAATTACTCGTTGACACAACTTGTTGAAAAAAGCGCATAAGCGTACAATTGCTACCCTAGGACCTTTAGGTAGCAAACCTCTAAGTGCAATGGGAAGAAGCTGCTGCATTAACACATGATAATCATGTGATTTCAATCCTGTGATCTTACATTCTTCTAATGACACGCCTCTGGAAATGTTGGAGCAGTACCCATCTGGGCCTTTGAACTCAAAAAGTCGCCTACAAAAAATCCTCTTCTCTGTCTTAGATAAAGACCAAACTGCTGCAGGTAGGTATGTTCTTTTTCCTCTGAATTTAGGGTGCAATTCCTTCCTAATACCAAGATCCTCCAAATCTCTACGAGCATTTAAACCATCTTTTGATTTCCCACAATGCAACAATGTTGATACAATACTCACAGCCACATTTCTCTCCACATGCATTACATCTAGGTTATGTCTAACAGGGAGTTCCTCCCAATAAGATAGCTTGAATAAAATCGACCTTTTCTTCCATCTGGATAACTCCTCCTCGTCAACTTGTACTTCTTCCTCCTCATCTTCTTCTGACTCACTAGATAAATCCTCACTGTCAGATTCTAATTCAGTAGTTTCCCTTTTTTTTCTCTTTCTTGCAGCTTGTTTCAGATTTCCAAAATTGTTTTTGAAATTTTTCAGGTTTTGAAAAATTTCACGACCACTTAGTATCCTTCCCTTTCTCCCGTGTTCAGCTTTTCCATCAAACCATGTCTTCTTTCCCCTATAAGTATGTGTTGGTGGAAGACCTTTTCTGTGGCACATATAGACATGTTTTCTGCTGAACTTCAACCACTTCGAGTCCGTATTTTTCCCACATAAAGGACAGCCCATTTTACCCTTTACTTTGCAGCCAGCAAGATTCCCATAAGCAGGAAAATCACTTATCGTCCATAGCAGCATTGCCTTAAGAGTGAAAGTCGTTTTACTATAGGCGTCATATGTTAACTCACCGTAATCCCACAGCTGGCATAGATCCTCTATGAGTGGCTCTAAGTAGACATCAATACTATTGCCCGGCTGTTGAGGTCCAGGAATTAACAAGGTAAGCATGATGTTCTCCTTCTTCATGCATAAGTCAGGTGGCAGATTGTAGTTTACTAGCAAAACAGGCCAACAACTATACCTTGTATTCTTCATATTGAATGGATTAAATCCATCAGTAGAAAGTCCAAGCCTCAGATTCCTTGCTTCTGCTGCAAATGATGGGTATTTGTGATTCATCTGATCCCATGTGACTGAATCCACAGGGTGACGGAGTTTGCCATCGTCGCTCTTATTACTGAAATGCCACCTTAAATCCTTAGCCATTTGCTCAGACCTAAACATCCTTTTAAGTCTCGGAATTATTGGAAAATAGCGTAATACTTTCTGCGGGACTCCTTTCTTTAATTCACCAGTGAGCATGTTAGTCTTCCATCTTGAAGCATTGCATTTAGGACAGTTCTCTAGCAGCTTGAACTTCTTTCTGAATAAGCAGCAATCATTGACACATGCATGAATTTTCTGGTAACCCATATCAAAGGATCTCAAAAATTTCTTCACCTCGTATAGTGAGGTGTGTAAGACATTATCCTTTGGTAGCATCTCAGGCAATACCTCTAGCAGATCATTGAAGCTCTTGTCAGACCAGCCATTCTTTGTCTTAAGTCTGAATAGTGTTACAATCGCCGACAGCTTGTTGTGGTTTACACAAGTTGGATATAGTGGCGTTTCAGCCTCAACAATCTTCTCAAGGAAATCATCTTCTTTCTTGTCATCACCCTCTGCAATCTCAAGCTTCGCAGCAAACTCCTCATCCAAAAATTCAGCAGCTTGAAATAACCCAACAATCTCATCATTCCACTGACTTTGATTGCTTTCACTTTCAGCCATTGGTATCAATTCTCCATGATGATACCAATCAGACCGCCTCTTATAAGCCTCGTCCATTCCCCTTGTTACCAGATGAGCAACTACAACACTGCTTGAGTGACGATCTATATTACGGCAATCAATGCAAGGACAGACAATCATATCCACGTCTCCCATCGCCGCAGCCACAGTCCGGACAAAATTTGTAGCTCCTCTCTCATAAGCAGGATCAACTCTTTATTAAAGAGTTAAAAAGGGAATTAAAAAAACATGCAAAGTCTCCTAATTTCCTACTGAAACTAGCCTATATAAAAAACAACTTACCTGCAGAGGTGCACCCACTCCTTGTCGAGCATTATATATTGCGTATTTTAAAACCTTTATATAGTACCATTTAAAATATTTCAGATTTAATAAAATACTCTTTACACATCAAAAAGCAGTTTATATTCATACCAATTAGCAAATATATAACACAAACTCATATTTTAACTCAATCTAAACAACCTATACAAATTGAGATGAGAACAGATCAATGAACTTTGTCAAACACAAATCACTATAAGTCTAACACATCAAACAGAAATAAATAATACCAAGCAGACAAAACCCACAGTAATGTTCAATATTGAAGAATAAAGATGGTACTAACCTGTCGTGTGATAAGAGCCTAAGATCAGCTCCAAATTCCCATTATTTCAAACAGCAAAACTTGCAAAACAAAATTACAGAATCAGTATATCTAGTTTCATGTGATTGGTTTTGCAAGAATGTGTTTGACGAGCACTGAAAAGATCTAAAGATTCAAAAAATGCTCAATACAAACAGTTAGAACTTCCTAAACCATCCAATTGTGTCCGACAATAACATAAGTACTTGTCTCAATCTCGCAAATTTCAGACAACAAACCAAACAAATCTTAATCTTGAAAGCAAAATTTTACTGACATTTATATAGCTATGCCTAAAGCAAACCACACAAACAAATAGATCTAAATTTGCGAAGAACAATGACATGCAAAAGATCTAAAGATTCAAAATTCCAGACAACAAACCAGACAAATCTTAATCTTCAAAGCAAAATTGTACTGACATCTATCTAGCTATGCCTAAAGCAAACCACACAAATAGACATGCAAAATTCGCGAAGAACAATGACATGCAAAAGAAAAAAAACTTTGACGATTTGAATCAGTTAAAATCCGAAATCCAGACTTTAAGAAACCAAAATCAAACAACATTATTGTCGAGATTCACAAAATCTAAAAGAAAACAAGCCAGATTAAAGTAAGAAACAAATTTATAGATTCAGAGACACATGCCTTCGATTAGAGCTCAACTCGGACAGAGATAGGCGAAATTAGGACCGGCTGTAGGTTTAGTCTCCCAGCTACGATAAAGGACGGCGGAGGCGAGATTAATCAGCGGCGAATTGTCGGATTGAGAGAGGTTGAGCAGAGATGGCTAGTTCTTAGGGTTTTCGAGAAATTGGGGAAAATGGTAAGTCTATTCGACAAAGTGGGGAAAAAACCTTTAAGTGTTTTGTTAATTGTTAGGCGGAAAAAATGATTTTACTTTCCCGCTAAATGAAAACATATCCATAGCGTAGGAACAATGATATCATTTTAATCACTATTTATTAGCGTCATTTAAATGCTATCATATGAATATAAAAATACATCTAATCTTCAATAGCAGTCCAGTAAATCGTGCTATGATGGTGTGCTATCAATGGAGACTTTTTTTGTAGTGAGAGTTCGTTTCCAGCCGTTGATTCTACGAGCCGGTCGATATGAGGGAGAGGAAAACTGTCTTTTGGACATGCTTTGTTAATGTCGGTGAAATCGACACATACTCTCCACTTTCCATTTTTCTTTTTGACTACCACGGGGTTTGCTAACCAATCCGGGTATTTTACTTCTCTAATTGAACCAATTTTCAAAAGCTTATCAACTTCGTCATTGACCGCTTGAGCTCGGTCAGGACCAAGTTTTCTTCTTTTCTGCTTTATTGGTTTAAAACTGGGATCGACGTTTAAATCATGGGTAATGATACTTTTGTCGATTCCAGGCATATCTTTTGCCGACCAGGCGAAAGTATGTTTATTTTCCTTGAGGAATGTTACCAATTGATCTTTGATTTCTGAATCTAAAGTAGTACCGATTTTTACTTTTCGATCTGGAAATTCGGAATCAATTTCAATTTCTGTAGTACCTTCATTCGAACTGAGACCACTTGGGTAACGCGAGGTGCTCTCTTGCTTCGCGTTTATCATTAATTGCTATTAGAGCTATAAACGATGTCCCATGAGGTAGCAAGAACGCGATGTTTCCTGATCACCTTGAATGGTTCCGATTCCTGCAAGAGTCGGAAATTTCACGCATTGGTGATAAGTTGAAGGTATAGCCTTCATTTGGTAAATCCACGGAGTTCCGAGAATTATGTTGGATGCTTCGAAATCTTCTTTTTCTTTATGATAAGATTCCACAAACTCCTCGATATTGAAATTAGCGAGCTCTCCAGCCGTCCACAGTTCGGTGAGGTGCTTTTTGAGTACGCTACAATCTTTGGTGGAGTGCCCGTTTACTCTGTGAATATCACAATAGGCACTCTCATCTCTAACCCAAGTATTAGGAGAACTGTATTTCCCTTTGCTTGGGGAGGGTTTTCCTACAGCATTAGTGGCAGGATTAACTCCGAACCGTTTTTGGTCTTTCGGTTCGAACTTTTTAGTTGGATTTGCAACGACCAATTTTGCTGGCCGATGCTTTTTAGCGAGGCTAAGCTTTTCTTCTTCTGCCTCCATCCAATTAGTAGCTCTGAATAAAGCGTCTTGGATGGTACTTGGACGATTGACGATGATTTCTTCCCGAAATCGGGATTCATACCAGAGTCCGTGCAGCAGCGTGCGATACCCCAGGAATTTTGGCTATCACTTCTTTGAACTTAGCGATATATTTGCGAAGTGGTTCATTCTGACCTTGGGTCAAATTCCAAAGATCCGCATCAGAAGTTGCCTTTTCCATGAACATGGAATATTGTTTTAGGAATGCAGAGGACAATTCCTTAAAACTGTCAATAGTTTCTGGTTCTAACTGAGTGAACCATAGCAGAGCCGGTCCGGAAAGATTCTCGGAAAATAGTTTGCAAAATCCGGCATCTTCCTCGCCTGGTTCTAGATCAATTCTGCCTGCGGCAATTTGAAACGCAGCGAGGTGATTTTTAGGATCTCCTTTACCATCGTAAGTGGGTAACTTAACCTTTCGAGAATCTTTGATACGAAGGTTCGAGATACTCGAGGTAAAGGGTGTTCGATGAGTTTCTTCGATTACTCGATCGATCTCAGGCGCCGAACTGGTCGCCTGATGAAATTTCGATTTCATTTCACTAAGCTCTTGACGAACTTTGATGAAATCGTCTAACAGGGTGACGTCAGGATCTTCTATGAAGAATCCGTCGTCATCAGGAAGATTTCCCTGACCCTGGGGAACTTGTTCCCCGGTTGGGTTAGTCGCATCCCCTACGGCTGCCTGGTTGCTAGTATTAGCGGGTTGGCCTGCAAGAGGGGTTTGGGTATTCCCGGTCCTGTTATGCGTGGGAGTCTAGAATAGCCTTCGCTGATACGCTGTCGTTCGCGCTGAGGACAAATTATCTAAACGCCTTGAAACAACGTTCTGCGCGTTCGACAGATTTGTTTGAGTGGTTTGAGCACTCGTTAAGGTTTGCTCGATTGAGTTTAACCTTTCACCAAAAGTGGTGTTGGCACTAGCGAGTGTACCCATCTGATTGGTCAGATCGATGGTTGTCTGAGTAAGCAAGGCAATTGCATTGCTCAAAGCTTGCTGCTCAGCCATAGTTTCTTGGTTTGAGAAAGAGAGATTTTGAGATTAAAGAGTTTTGCGGCAAGTCCCCACAGGCGGCGCCAAAATGTGGATTTAGGATTCACACTCGATTGTCTTTAAGTATTTTTTTGTGGAGAAAAACTCTAAAATCAAAGGATGAATATAAGGAATCGAAAGAGAAATTAACCAAGAAACTAATAAAGTAAAGGATTTTGATAAGAATAATATAATAAGAAGCCTTGAGAAATTGTGAAAGAAAAAGTATGTTATATTGCTTGACAGTAAGTCGTAAAAAGATTGTTCTCCCCAAACACATGCGTTTGAGGTTGTTTTTATAGAGAAAACATGATTAATGCGGCTATTTACTACTCGTAATCACATTGATCCGCATTAATCACATAAGTTACATTTTGACCGAACCGGCTTGAATTTGAACTTGTCTTGGGCTTCACGTGGGCCTTCCGAACTCTTTCTTGCTGACTCCGAACTCCCATGCTTTGATGCTACCGCGAACCCCGAACAATATTCTCCTCGCTTCGGCCTTTCTCTATGCGAACTGTATGTTGAATAAGAGCGAACTCCGTACTGGTAAAGATCGAACTCTTTTAGTAGACTGAATCGAACTCCCGACTGGTTAAGTGCGATCCTTATAATAAAATATCTTTAATTCCAAGAGGATTATTATGTAATAATGACGTGGACAGATCCAAGTGGATCCTACCGAAAATGTGTGGGATCCGACCCCAACAGGAGAGATTGTTGGTGTTGTGAAGACTGAGTTTTAGAACCTGCTGAGATCCTTGTGTGTAGGTTGAGGGGAAGTTTGGATATCATGAAAGTAGTATTTGCAGTTTATGTTGTGTGAAGTTTGAATTATAAAACTCACGAAAAAAGGGAGAGATTGTTGATGTATTCTTAACTGTGTTTTAAATTAAGATGAAGAGAAACTGAAAGCAAAATTTATGGAAGACGGAGAATGAATATGAAGTTGTTGACGCAGTCGATGTACTAGTTCAGAGTACTACACGAAGGGGCTGATTGGAAGAGACTTTAAAGGCTTTAGAATTTTTTTAAAGTCTTAAAAGCCAAATATTTACCAATCATAATTTTAGGACTTTAGAATTTTTTAAAGTTTTTAAAGTCCAAGTTATTCATTTGTGGTTATTCCACATAACCAGTCATTTATTACAATACCGTATTAAAAGTGAGAGCTAGATCATTCCTATATTTGGTAAAGAACTTTAAAATCATAGATTGAGTAAAAGTAAAACAAAAGTTTTTTAACCTTGTAAACGGAACCAAAGCCGCCTTCTCCTAACTTGTTTTCGTCGGGGAAGTTATTTGTCGCAACCAATATTTCACTTAGCCTTAGCTCAATCTGATCTCCATCATCATCCTCTCCACCAAATATATCCATGCGATAGTCTTTTTCTACGCAAACACCATTATTGTAAAAACTTATTAACAGTTTTTGTACAATTAAGGTTTTAATTTGAAATCATCAAAACCAGTATTACCTCTTTGTGCTCTTCTATTTCTCCGCCGAGATGAAAGGTAGAGATATAAACCAAC